CCCTTCCCTGACTTGGATTGTGAGCCGCCCTGAGTCCCCTTCGGGGAAAAGGGCGGCATATAAATGCAATAAATTCAATTCAATTCAATTCAATGCTAGGATAGTGACAATCAGTCATCCAATATACCAAGGATGCCAAACCTTTTTCTTATGGCGTGCCAAAATTGTCTGCGCATGTGATACAGCATGCGCATGCATGCCCGCACCAATTCAATCCTCCCTGCCCACTTGAGCATGCATGTATGACACACACAAATCCACACAAATGGGCTTTGGAGGCTTTCCTGAATCCTGGGGCAGGCGAAAACGGCCTCCCCTGCCCTCCGGAAGCTGAAAATCGGCTGTCCGGCATGCACATGTGCCCCAGAGCTGATGACTGGCGTGCCAGCAAATATGGCCCCACCTGCCACCTGTGGCACGTGTGTCATAGGTTTGCCATCACGGCAATATACTCTGGCTGAACAGAACGCTTACTTGATAAACATGAAATGCATTTGCTGCTTTCCCACGGAGAAAGACGGAAGGAATCCAGACGTTTATAAGCGCTCGGTTTGATCTGGGTGACAAAAAAAAAAAAAATAAGCAAATAAGTCAGGATATACAAGTCTTGCACGGAAGTACAAACAGGCCGTAAGACAGACTCCGCTGATAGACGCTACCAAATAACCAAAGCTCTTAGGGAAAAGGAACCAAATCAAGAATGCAAATGGGATGTTACAAGATGGGGAATACATTCCCAAAACAGAAAGAACCCCTGAATTATGAATTATGAATGTACTTCCAAAAAAAAATCACTCTTTTGAAGTCGTTGCGGGAATGAGATGAAGACATCAAACTTTCAAACAACTTACATTTCAAAATCTGACAGGCTCTGATCTTCGGAGGTTTGACTCAGATCTCCGGGAAGCTAAGCAATAACAGGAAGGAAGGAAAAATAAAATTAAACACTGGGTCCACTATTGTCTTAAAGAGCAGGCAAGTGCAGCCTAACCCAGAGCAAACGCCCCAAAATTAATTCCTAAATCAAATCGGCCCCTGTCCTATCATTCCCAGGGGGGTGATATTTAAATAGAAGTCTCGCCACGGCATGGCAGTTTTATAAATTATTCCCTACCTCTTGGCAAAAACACTTTCTTTTTTTTNTTTGAGTTTCCTCTTCAGGATCTGGCCTTCTAAAGAGCAGTCAGGGTTGACCTCTAGGACTGATCGGTTGGATGGCCTTGCAGTCCAAGGGACTCGCAGGAGTCTTCTCCAGCACCAGAGTTCAAAAGCCTCCATTCTTTGGTGCTCAGTCTTTCTTATCGTCCAACTTTCACAGCCATACATTGCAACTGGAATTGCAAGTCTAGAACTCACCAACTCCTGGTGATTGGGTTAAATTCACCTAGCTGGCTTTCATGCCTAAGGCAGGACTAGAATTCACCATCTCCTGGCTTCTAGCTGGGGCCTCAACCACTAGACAAAACTGCACACTCTACGGCATAATCATCGGTAGGCTGACCTGCAAGAGCCAAGGGAGGTTTCTTTCTATTGCCTCTACCCAGGAGAACAGCCAGGAAGAAAACATCGGAAATCCAAACCAGGCTCGAGCCATTCAAAATATGAAGAGGAAGAATAACTGAACCCAGAATTAAATCCAAGATTGCTTTGCTGGATTAGCCAGAAATAGTTCATTGCCTTCAGCAATGCAAATTCTAGGGCTGGAGCTGTCCAGGGTACTGAAGCTTCAGCATGACTTCAGCATGGATATCAGATAGTCCTGGATTTATCAGCCATTGATTTATCTGCCATTTGAAGTGAATAACAGCACTGGAAGGAAAAATGACTTATGTCCAGTCCTCACACTTATGACCATGGCTTCAACCCCACATTATATGATGAAAGGATGCTTGGCAACTATCATGTAATTAAGACGGTGGCAGCCTCTTGGGATTCACGGGATCCTCATTTGCAACCTTCCAAGAAGCCAAGTCAATGGAGGAAGCCAGATTTGCTTAACAACCATGTGATTCACTTAACAACTGCAGTGATTCGCTTAACAATCATGGCTGTAAAATCCAGCGCAGCTCACTGAACAATGGAAATTTTGGTTCCAATTGTGGTGATAAATCAAGGATTACCTTTACAGAAAGTTCAAGTGCTTCGTGTCATTTCTACTTAACGGCGCTACACTTCAGCTGCTACATTTACAAGTAAAGTAACTTTTTCGCCTGTGCTGAAATTTAGCAATGGTATCAGGAATTATCCCCATCTGCGCTACACGTACACTTGTTAAAAATATGTATACCTTACAAACATACCTCTACTGTAAACTGTTACTGTATAAAATCCTCCCTCAAACAATATTACAAAGCGCGTCTATGTTCCCAATAATTTATCAATGTTTGATATGTCAACACCTGCCCACTGAAGGGGACTATTAAATTTACTATAGTGTCTGTGGAAGATTTGCGGAGGAGGTGAAACCTGACTCAGAAGCAAATGAGACTGTAAACACAGATATGTCCACAAGAATTATTTGGTTCCTGCCAAAACATTAAGTAGGCTTCTGGTAGCTATCACCACCTAGAGGTTAGTTGTAAATGAAACTTTGAAGTGTCTCTCCAAGAAAGTTCAATAAAAACCTTGATTCGCCGCAAAAGAAGTCCAAGAAATGTTCTCAACAGCCAGTCACCAGGAACAACAGAAGCAAGAGCAAATGAAACAAGAGCAAATATTAGCTCGAAAAGGTAAACACTCCTTCTGGGCCAGAGACTGAGCTTAAACTGGGAGGTCAGTGGAGGAATGGAGGTGTGGCCTCAAGATTTACCTCAGTCTCCAGGGCAAAAGGGCTGTGTTAATATGTGTGACTCCTCCCACGCCCCACTTCGGAAACAATCCAACTTCCAAAGATACAGAGAAGAGGCCCAGCCTATCGGCCCTTAATGCTTTATTTGCCACCGAGCCGAGATATGATTTCTTTCATTTGGTCTTATTGGGCTGCAGAGCTTAGCCACTGTAGTTTATAAACTCTGAGTTATGACTTAGTGCTTGGAGAACTGAATCCATTCTGCCTTCTTTCACAAATCACAATTAAGCAGATCGTAGCTTAATGATCACAGGCAACACATAAACCAGATTGAAGGAGACATGGCGTATAGAAGGATTATCCATATTCCCTGTATTTGATAGATCAACCAAGCCAAGATTTACAGAATGGCTGCAGCCGCACAACGCATAAACAACCTTCAATCATTGTTTATGGATTATAATGAACTTGGCCTAGACAATGCACTACATCAAAGCCAAGGAGCCTAACCATGTTCAGTTTTAAAAAGCTGGACAATCTTTCCAGTAATACATCCAATTTCAGAGCAACAAAGAAATGGCCGACTTAAGTATCCTGCTGATAATCTTCTGGCTGGAAGACCAGTGGGTGACTTTGATGTTTGGGTCGAAGCCAAGAGCTTGAAGATGCCGAGTGTCTTCCCCGGGCTTAAAGTCAGCTTATCTCCAAGTACTTGCAAAACAATTTGCACACTGTCATTCCTGTAGACAAGCAATGTGGAAACACGCACGAGGAAAGGAAGCAAACATTCCCCCCCCACACACACCCTCTTATCGGTGACCCGAGGATGACAGTTTGCCAAGCCTCAAATACTAAATGTGTTCTTGCCTCATTAAAAGAAGATAATTGCAACGCAATGGAATATGCTGGCACATATGTTTTTCCTGCTTAACTACCAGCGAAGTATTTTGGTTTCAATGTGGAAAAAAAATAAACGACGCATAGAGGGGAAGGGGCTGGAAGAGGCTTTCCTTTTTCAAAGTTATCACAGTGCTGGAAAAAAAAACAAAGCGACTTAGAACTGATCCTCAAACTTGACAATCATTGCAGCATCCCGAACAGTCACAGGATCAACATTGGGTGCTTGGCAATCAGTATGCGTTCAGTCAGTCCTAGAGGAGATCAAACCTGCTCTTTAGAAAGCCAGATCCTGAAGAGGAAACTCAAAGACTTTGGCCACCTAATGAGAAGGAAGGACTCCCTGGAGAAGAGCCTCATGCTGGAAACGATGGAGGGC